CAGCGAGAGCGTAAAAATTTTGAAACGTTCGAAGTAATTTAGATTAAGACTAATAAAGAGCGGTTAAAAAATACATACATCCCATGTTCATTTCAATGAAAGGGCCCGTGATGGAACATTATCCAACCTTGAGCATAGCTTATGCCTCAATGAAGTTCGTTTGATAGAACACAACGTTCCCAGACTGCACCTAGATCCCTGAATAAAATAATAGGCTCTCTAAGATACAGATTCACTTCAACAACCACGCTCTAGCCATTTCTAACACTGCTAAGAGCCCAAACAAATGAGTTCAGGGGACCATGATCCCTCCACTCCTCTAGGATGGGATTGCCACACCAGTGACGCGAACCTGTATACTCCCCTTGCACGAATGTATCACCTGTGCTTTTCTCGTGGCAAGCTCAAGGATGAACGGGACATGACACAGAAAGAGGGCCGCAAAATGAACCCAATAAGATATAAAAACGATAAACAGTCATACGAATTTACCGTAGCTGAGAATCAGGCCCACCGGAGACTAAAAGGCTGCCACCAGCTGTCCCACCAGTCCAAAAGGCTATTTTGCATGGAGGAAGAAAGTGACCACTCCTGATGTGTTTGGCTATAGGCACGCTGTCCGGACGGTCAAAGAATGAAACCTACGCATGAAAAGCAGTTTCTGCTTAGCTAACTGAATCAGATCCAAAAAATACGGTTGCAAGAAATGCACCCTTATTTTAAACTCACTTTAACGCAGTTATCAGCACCACTGGATACCAAAGCACCTGCAGCTTCACCAGAAGGTATGCAGAAGAAATGGACAACGCGCGCTAAATGGAAATCCTCAGCTTGATTGACAGCGCGACAGGTTCCATCACTCTCCAGCTCCCACATGGAAAGTCGGCCAGATTCAGAGCCGGCAAGAAGGTATATCGAAGCGTTTGGTTCGACGAAATTTTCAATTCCCGCACGACGTAGAGCTTCAGAAACACCCAACCCGACAGTGGCTATGGTTGCAAAAACATTGCTACTCAAGATTAATATAAGTAGAAGGTTTGCCAAAGTACACCGATGCTAACTGACCAGAGTACTGTCTGCTCGTGGAACAGACTCAAGTAAATTTGAACTAATTTCCAGGTATTTTAAAAGTTGCAAAATAACGGTAGCCAAAAGCGTTTCTAAACACTAGGGCTATTGCAATATAACAAGTGGGATTGGTAGAGTGAAAGGGAAGAGGAAGAAGCATCAATTACTCCTAA